GCACGGGCCTGCGGCGGCAGCCATGCAGGCCGAGACGAAGCCCGTCTCGGAGCCGTCGGCGCTGGTGACGCCGGAGGCGGCGGAGGCGGCGGCGGCGTCGGCGGCGGCGGTGATGGCGGGGGAGGCGACGGCGGCGGCGGGCTCGGCGGAGGAGGAGAGGGCGGCGGCGGAGAGGGCGGAGGCGGTGAGGGCGGAGGAGGAGAGGGTGGCGGCGGAGAGGGCGGAGGCGGTGAGGGCGGCGGCGGCGATGGCGGCGGCGGCGATGGCGGCGGCGGAGAGGGCGGGGGCGGTAACGGCGGCGGCGGCGATGGCGGCGGCGGCGATGGCGGCGGCGGGCTGGGAGGCGGCGGCGACGGCGGCGGCGGGCTGCGCAAAGGGGGGGGGGGGGTGAGAAGGGTGAGGGTGAGGGTGAGGGTGGCGGTGGTTCTCCTTGTGTCATCTCGGGCGCGCTACTCGCGCAATCTCGTGTGATCTCGTGTGATCTCATGCGACACGGATCTCGGATCAGCGAAACCTGGGCGGAGGCGGCGACGGCGGGGGCGGCGACGGCGGGGGCGGCGACGGCGGGGGAGGCGACGGCGGGGGAGGCGACGGTGGCGGCGGGCTCGGCGGAGGAGGAGAGGGCGGCGGCGGCGAGGGCGGAGGCGGTGAGGGCGGCGGCGGCGAGGGCGGCGGCGGCGAGGGCGGAGGCGGTGAGGGTGGAGGTGGCGAGGGCGGCGGCGGCGAGGGCGGCGGCGGCGACGGCGGAGGTGGCGACGGTGGAGGCGGGCTCGGCGGCGGGCTCGGCGGCGGAGGCGAGGGCGGCGGCGGGCTCGGCGGAGGCGGTGAGGGTGGCGGTGGCGAGGGCGGAGGCGGCGAGGGCGGAGGCGGGCTTGGCGGCGGTGGCGAGGGTGGCGGCGCTGGCGGTGGAAATGGCGGTGGCGACGGAGGAGCGGATGGAGAGGGCGGTGGCGAAACTGGTGCCGGCGGCGGTGGCTGCAGCGGGGGCGATGGCACTGAGGGTGGCAGAGAGGGGGGAGAAGGAAGCTCTGGAGGCTTCGGCGGGGATTGAGGAGGATCCGGCTGCGATGGGAACGGAGGAGAGTAGGGCGGGGGAGATGGCGGGGG